GGATGTCAGAAGATGTAAAATTAAATTTTTTTTCAAAATTCCAACGTCTTCTGAAATCCGAAAACGCAATTTTCTGAAATTTTCGCTTTGTTACCTCTCTTTCTCATGCGATTCCCGACATTTTTAAACCCATATCGCCCTAGTTTGACAATTTTTGGATTCCGAATTCAGAATACGTCAAAATTCAGAATCTCACCAAACTAGGTCTATATGGGTATCAAAATGTCAGAAATTGCATGAAAAATACGGTTAACGATGTGAAAATTTCAGAAAATTGCGTTTTCGCAATTCAGAAGACGTCAAAGTTTTTTTTTTGAAAAATTGCTTTTTCGAGCCAAAATGTTTCGAAAAGTGCAGTAATCCACAAAAGACTTTGAATTCCAGATTCCTGTCCACGGTGGCTCCAGAAGCAGCTGCTTCTCCAGCAGCCGACGCTGCTGCTGCTGAGAATGCAGAAGTCGTCGAGGATTCTGGAAAGCCAACGAAGACCCAACGCCTCACCCAACCGTACTCATCCAAAGCGATCACCACGCTGAAATTGGATCAGTATCCATTGTAAGTTGGCCATCTTTAGGCTTGGTCCCACTCTTACAAAAAGAGTCGTGCCTCAGTATACCCCCATTTCCCCCTTCGTCTCCATTTCCTATGACCAATGCATACATGTCCCTTTTGCTCAGATATGTGGAGCGAGAATGGTGGAAAACCGGAAAACGAATGACATTCTGGGCGAGTTGGCGTCAGTTGAGAGATGTCAAGCGGCGGCAACAAGTGCAGGTAACCTATAAATTTCTGAATTTGTTGAAAAAAACTTTTTTCGAAAAATCTTTGATGCCTTCGGAATTCCGAAAACGCATTTTTCTGAGATTTTCACTTCGTTTACCGTCTTTCTCGTGCGATTTCCGACATTTTGATACCCATATCGACCTAGTTTGGTGAGATTCTGATTTTTGACGTCTTCTGAATTCTGAATCCGAAAATTCTCAAACTAGGGCAATATGGGTATCAAAATGTCTGAAATCGCATGAGAACGACGGTTAACGATGTGAAAATTTCAGAAAATTGCGTTTCTGGGAATTCAGAAGACGTCAAAGTTTTTGAATAACATTTTTTTGAAATTCAGGGATTCTTTCTTTTTTTCTGAAAATTCTACAGTAATCTCAAAATGCTACAATAACATAAAACGAAACGCTGCAGTAATTCTGAGAACTACAGTTATCCGAGTTGCTACAGTAATCCGAGTAGCTACTGTAACCTAAAACTATAGTAATCCCGAAAATTACAGTAATCCTGAAAAATACAGTAACCCAAAAACTACAGTAATCCACTTCTGAAATGTTCTTCCAGGAAGTGGGCGCGGATCGAATGCGTCTAAAAGCCATCAAATTCAACACAATCCTCCCACAAGCGATTCGTGACGAAGCGGCCGAGAAGATGCAGAAGGCCCGTCGTTACGATCATCCCCGTCTGATTCTGAATATGTGTCAATTCACAGGACGTCAACGTGGAAAGATCAAGCCGTATCGACTGAGTCGTCATCTGTTCCGTCGATTCGCCGATCGATCGGCGTTGTCCGGCGTGCAGAGAGCCATGTGGTGATTGAGATGGATTATCGATTTTTTTATTGATTTTTTGGTTTTTAAATATGCTTTGTGACCTAGATAGATTCCTTCTTTTTTGTTGTTACACAGAATAAAGTTTTCGTTTTTTTTTTGGAATTCTCAATGTCCCATCGGTTTTAAGACCCGAATTCAATATATCTCATTTTTATTGATTTATAGATTTTTTTTTCAAATTTTTCGATTTTTTGAAATTTTCAACGACTTCCAGCTGTCTATGATCATAGACAGCTGAAAATCGTAAAAATTCTGAAATTCCAGAAAAATCGAAAATTTCAGATTTTTCGAAATTTCCCAATTTTTGAAAATTATTGATTTTTTCGAATTTTTGGAAATTTGAATTTTTTGAAATTTTCAGAATTTTCCGATTTTGGAATTTTAGATTTTTCCGATTTTCGGATTTTTCGAACATTGGAATTTTTGAAAATTTCAAGTTTCCCATGTTTTGGAAAATTTGAAATTTCTGGAAATTTTTCAAAAATTTGGTGCATTTTGGATTGTTCGGTATTTTATTTTATTTTTTGATTTATTTGAATATTTCTGAAAATTCAAAAAATTCACAATTTTCAGATTTATTGAATTTTTTGCGAAAATTTCGATTTTTTTGAAATTCCGAAAATGTTCAAATTTTTTTGAATTTCTGAAATTTTTTGATTTTCAGATTTTTTGGAATTTTTTTTCCATGTTTCTGAAATTTCAGATTTCGATTTTTCCCAACTTTCAGATTTTTTATATTTTGAATTTTGCGATTTTCGTATTTTTCGAACATTTGGATTTTTTGAAATTTCGAAAAATTTGAGATTTTTGAGTTTTTCTGAATTTTGCTGAAAAAATTGAAAAAAACTTCCCAATTCTTAAATTCAACATTTTTCAAAATTTTGGATTTTCTGAAAATTCAAAAAATGTCCAATTTTCAGATTTTTCCAAAATTTCGAAATTTTTCAAAAATTGGGATTTTTGGAAAAATTTCGGATTTTTTCAATTTTCTGAAATTTTTGAATTTTTTCAACTATTCTGCAAATTTTCAAATTTCCAATTTTTTCGAATTTCCATTTTTCTCTCCCCTATGTCCCCAATTTTTAAGCCATTTTGCACCTATTTTCAGCTCTCTCTATCTATGACAACTGATGCCGGCAACACCCCAGAATTGGCCTCCCTACCATCCGAACTCCTCTGTCAACTATTCACCTACCTCCCAAATCGAAAATTGATCACTGAGATTCCGTTGGTGTGTCAAAGATTCAACACCATCCTCAACGATGACAAGTTTTGGAGCCGGAGAATTGTGAGGATTGCAAAATGAAAAATGACCCAAAAATGATGAGAAATGACCCAAAAATCATGAAAAATGACACAAAAACCATGATTTTTTACCTGAAAATTATGAAAAACGCTTTAAAATGGCCTAGAATAGCCTGAAAATATCTTTTAGAAGCCTTAAAATGGCTTAAAATGACCTAAATTAGCCTAAAAATGGCCTAAAAATGGTCGAAAACGGCCTAGGACCAAAAATCTCAAAATTTCGGGATTTCTAGGCCACCAATACTCGAAATTTTAGGCCATAAAAACGCAAAAAAAAACATCAACTTTCGACAAAAAAATCGTGAAATATTTGGGTTTTTTGAAGCTACAGTAACCCGAAAAAAAAGCTACAGTAATCTAAAAATGAGAAATTGAGGATCTACAGTAATCTAGAAAGCTGCAGTAACCCAATTATCTACAGTAATAAAAAAGGCTACAGTAATCCAAAGTCAGATAAAAAAGAGCTTCTACAGTAACCCTAGAACCTACAGTAACCCAAAAACCTGGAAAATAGAGTATCTACAGTAATCCGAAAACAGCTACAGTCATATTTTTTTCGAATTTTTGAAATTTTGGGTTTTCGAAGCTACAGTAATTCAAAAAGACATCTACAGTAATCCCTTTACACTAAATTTGTATCTCTTCCGCTTCCAGCGTACCGAACACCTGGTCCATCAACCGGAATGCGAAGTGTCCCATCCCAACTACCAACCCAAACGCTCATTCCACTCAATGCGAACCGCCCGTTCGAGATTCAGAGACTGGGAGACGCAGACGGTGCACGTGGCACTTGGCCACTCGGCTACTGTAGACTCGGTGCTGCTATTCAAGACTGAGCAACAGCACAAACAATTCTGTCTATCCGGCTCGCGGGACCGAACGATACGTCTGTGGGATCTGGAGAATGTGAGGAACGGTGTGGAGGACACGTGGACGGTCGCCAAGGATGAGACCGCCCATTTGGGATGGATTTGGAATATGGCGAGGGACGACACTACGGGTTAGAGATGGCTTTTTGAAGGGGTTCGAGCCCGAAAATGGGACTTTTGAGCTCCTGGACGTTCTAGAACTGGTCATTTCGCAACCCGGACGTTTTAGAACCATTTTCAACGGTTTAGACCTCGAAGATGGGGTTTTCTAGCTATTTTGAGCCTAGGACGTTTTAACTATTTTTGAACAATTTTAACCCCAAAAATTAGTTTTATGAGCGATTTCGTGTCTAGAAATGGGATTTCCGAGCTGTTTGGACCCCAGGACGTTCCAGAAACGGACATTTCACAACCCGGACGCTTTGGAACCGTTTTCCGAAGATTCTAGTAATTTTGAGCAATTTTGAGCTTAGAATTCGATTTCTCGGCTACAGGACGTTTCGCAACTGTGACATTTTAGAACCGGATGTTTTGGAACCGTTTCCTGACGACTTAGAGCCCGAAAATTGGGCTTTTGAGCAATTTTGAGCATACACATAGGTTTTAGACGACTTTTTGGACTCCAGGACGTTCCAGAACCGGTCATTTCGCAACCATGACGTTTCAGAACCATTTTGGACGGTTTTGGACGATTAAAACCCCAAAAATCAGATTTCCGAGCAATTTTGAGCTCAGAAATTTTATTTTTTGGTCCTAGGACGTTTCGCAACTGTGACTGTCAAGAACCGGACGTTTTAGAACCGTTTTTAAAACGATTTGAACCTTGAAAATGGTATTTTCTACTATTTGGAGCCTAGAAATGAGTTCTGGACAATTTTTGGACACCAGGGCGTTCTAGAACCGATCATTTGGCAACCATGACGTTCTGAAACCATTTCTAGACGATTCAGACTCCAAAAATGGGATTTTTGAGTAGTTTTGACTCCAGAAACGGCCTTGGACGACTATTTGGACTCCAGGACGTTCTGAGACCGGTCATTTCGCAACCATGACGTTTCAGAACCATTTTGGACGGTTATGGATGATTAAAACCCCAAAAATCAGATTTCCGAGCAATTTTGAGCGTAGAATTCGATTTTTGGGCTCCGGGACGTTTCGCAACTGTGACATTTTAGAACCGGTCATTTCGCAACCCAGACTCTTTAGAACCGTTTTCCGAAGATTCTAGCAATTTTAACGCTAAAAGTCAGATTTTCGAGCAATTTTGAGCCTTCAAACTGATTTTCGGGCCCCAGGACGTTTCGCAACTGTGACGCTTCAGAACCAGTTTTGGACGATTTTGACCCCGAAATTGGGTTTTTTTAGCAACTTTGAGCCTTCTATTGGTTCTAGACGATTTTCGGGTCCTAGGAGACGTTCTAGAACCGGTCATTTCGCAAC